AAAAAAAAAAGAACTGAGTTTGAAAGCCAACTGTGAAGGAGACATAGGGTATTCAACAATTATACATCCTGGGTAAAGCTACCTACAGGTTTGCTGAAGAGGAGGTAGCATTAGGTAGAAGCAGGATTGGGTTATTGCTTATTTTTTGTTTTCACCTGGGAAATCTTTGTAGGGAAAAAGAATGGAGAGAAGCTTTAAAGAGGCAAGAAAAGGAATAATGAAAAGCCTAGGACAGGTAGTAAAGAGGCTTAAAGAAAAAAGGAAAAACTGAGAAAAGTGTAGGACGGACACAGTGGCTGGTCTAGATCTTCTCAGTAAAAGAACTTCATTTTTGCTGAAAAAGATAATGGTGAGATTGAGGCTCAAGGATTTGAGAGCAGAAATACCTTGAAATAGTTACAAAGAAGTCATTTTGATATGAAAAGAATATAAAATAGTAAAATGTGCCCACTTGAGCCTGGACACCATGAATTTGCAGTGAAACCAACTGACTCTATTTTATAGGACTTGGCATCCCCAGGGGCAAGAATGGAGAAAACAAATGGCACACAAGCTAACTCTTAGAGAATTGGTACAGCAAGAAGAATAAACAAAGGAGTTAAGAAATCAAGTATGATGGAGGGGCACCTAGCTGGCTCAGTCAGAAAAGCATGTGACTCTTGATCATGAGTTCAAGCCCCACACTGGGTGTATAGCTTACTTAAAAAAAAAAAGAAAGAAAAGAAATCAAGTAGGATGGAGAAAGCACCATTGAAATGGCTTGCCATGGGTTCCAGCTAGATAGGAAGACAAATTTTGACAGAATTTAGCTAATAAACTGAAAATGCAGAGGCACTGAAGGAGTGGAGTTCACATAGGCATGAAGTTTAATGGGAGTGAAACAGGAGAAAAAGTGACTGTTAAAGCAATTTGTGAATTTAAGACCTTGGAATTGGCACAAGATGATGACAATGATGGGTTCTAAAGGGTGGAATGTTTGGCTGTTCCTTTGGGTAGCTGAAGATTACTGAAGAATGTCATTGGAATTGAGTTCAATTCCATGAGGTCACAGTATGAAAAGTGATGAACTTTTTATGAAAAATCATAACATGAACTACTCAAGTGGGAAAATACAGGGAGAGGTTGAGAGGGACATTTTAATCACTAAAAAAAGTGAAAATATTGTAAAAATCTAAAGAAAACAATGTGGGTGTGCATGAGACTGGCAACAAGAGAAGAGAAGTGGAGATATGGCAAAGAAACAAAAGATAAAAGAGACTAAGGACCATATGACCTAGCAATTCCATTCCTAGGTATATACCCAAGAAAAATGAAAATATATGTTCACATAAAACTTTAAACAAATGTTTATAGCAGCAATGATATTCATAATAGCCAAAAAGTGAAACTCAAATGTCCATCAACTGATGAATGGATAAACTATGGTATATCCATACAATGGAATATAAAAAGAATGAAGTATTGCTACATGCTACAACATGGATGAATCTTGAAAACATTATGCTAAGTGAAAGAAGTCTGACACAAAAAGCCATGTGTTGATTCCATTTATGTAGTGTCCAGCATAGGCAAATCCATAGAAACAGAAAGATTAGTAGTTATCAGGGACTGAGGGAGAGATGGGAATGGATTTGGATTTGGATGGGTATGGATTTCCTTCTAGGGTGGTGAAAATGTTCTGGAATTAGATAGTGGTCATGGTTATACAATCTTGTGAATATACTAAAAACCACTGATCTGTATTAAAAGTGTGGATTTTATGTATGTAAATTATCTCAATACAAAATAGACTACAGGACAAGAAATATATGGCCTTCCCAGAAATCTTTTTCAATAAATTTACATATTTTAGCTTAGAGTAGCCCAATTGTCTTCCTCACTTTAGTGATCATCCCTATTAAATGACTCTTGGCAATGATCATTCTCTACACATCTTGACATCCAAAAACTATGTGCTTGGGTCAGTTTCTTGCCAAACAAACAGACAAAAAATACCTCTCACTTAGGTCCCATGAGATACTGAATTATCATAGGTTTTTGGCATCACTTCAAATGAGTCACCAAGTGAACAGAAGGGTCATAAAACTTCAGACTACAGAAAGTAGTCTTTATTTTCAGTATATTATATAGCATGGAGCTATGTATGAATACATCTCATACTATGAAGAAAATGGACTTATTTTGAAATCCTGGTTCTTTGATGGAAGAACACTTGCCATAGAAGAGAGAATTCTGTTCTCAACCTAGTAGTTGATTCAATGACCTCATTACTACATATAAAAGTGATTAAGATGACAATTAGTTTTGAACACCTAAAGTACAATATACCACTTACTTTGCCAAATTCAACATATATCTATACTATAACAGTGTGAACCTGGAAATTCATTCCTCAAATGTTAAAAACACACATTGTTTGCACTGGTAACATGCCTCTTACAAAAACTCCCCCTTGACGTTCCATCTCCCTCTAACCTCTACCCCATTCCTCTAATCTTTATAACAAAACTTGGGAAAAACTATTTCAGTGATATGATAAGGATGAAAGCCTAAGAGAATCAGAAGTAAACGAATAGACTTTTTCTGTAAAGTCACTATGGCCTATATCTTGCCAAGGCCATCTGTAGCAGAGATTACTAACTACTCACAATAAGCTGGTTCCTTTTTCCTGTATGTATGGCTTGTTTATTTTCTGCAATCTCCATTGAGATTGGGGTCATGTGACTTAAGTCAAGCCAATGGA